GCCACTCCAGGTGGGAATAGGTTTTGTGCCTTAGCCTGTTCCCCTTGGCAGCCTGGTGACCACCATCCTCCAGAGGCCACTGGACAGTCAGGTTTGGGCCTGCAGTGACGAGACACACAGGGCCTCACCACATGGGGGTGGAGCCAACTCTTTCTCCCCATCCCAATGAGACCCCCGAGTTGCCACCTACAAACAGCCTGACTGGCTCCTGATCAAGCTGATTAATAGCCATGATACCAGACACTCAAAAACAAATCCTGAAACCCAGCGGCTTTTGGCAGAAATGCATCTGGACTGCATACAAGGTGGCTGCCACCTCAGAGCTTATTGGAAAGCCAGGTATGAGCCGGCGGTGACGGGGCTACTGCAGTCTCATGGGAAGGGGGGTAGTACCGGCATGTCCTTCACTCCCTACCGAGATCATGAGTTATCCCCCTTGAGTGGCTCTCTGGCACGGCCATAACACCAGACACATAGAAACCAATCTCGTAATTATCTGCCTCTTTGCAGAAATCCAAAATTGTGGCTGCGCGATATTATATGATCCTCATAACCAGCTATAGAAAACAAAATATTTCACAATGCCTTTTCAGCAATTCTGATTGTGTGGAGGGAAATTCTAAACAATAATGGCGCATCTTTTGTCGAAATAATAAATGTAATTAATGTAGAGAAGATTTAAGTGGAAATCATCTGCCTCACAGGCATTTGGAGGGGTGGAAGGGGGAGTATACTGGAGTTCTTGGTGATGAAAAATGAGTACTGGTGAAGGGAAAGATGCTTGATCATTGTATGACCGAGACTTATACTTGAAAGCTTAGTAACTTTTCCCACAGTAAAGGTAAAGGTAAAGGCCCTCCCGTTGATCGTCGATTTGCTCGAGCGGGCCCAGTAACGTCTCCATTGGAGACTTTGTTGTTACTGTGTCTGGCATATCGAATACTCTCGGTAGCTTGCCAGGCTCTCCGAGAGGGGCGGAGGAATCGAACTCGGGTCGGCCATGTTGGCCGCTTGTAAGGCGAACGCCCTACCCGCTGTGCTATCGCTCCAGCCCACAGTGATTCAATAAATAAATATAAAAAGAAAAAAATAAAATAAAAAACATTAAGGTGGAGTTCATGCCTAATTCAATCAGCTAATCAGTGGCTGAATAAATAGTAGTACTCCTACAAAAAATAATAACAATAATAAAAACAAAAACCAGGTTGAAAAAAAATAAAAAAAAAAGAATTTGGGATACTACCCCCCACAAAAAGAAACCATCATTTATACTATAGAGAAATAATAGTTTCGTTTGTTTATCACTTGCCCAATTTTTTTCAGGTCTTACAATTCAGCATATGAAAATATCATCTGGTCCGTACACATACATAGCTCAGTGGCATAATGCCTGGCTTGCATTTGGGTGGACAAGATTCCTGGCATCACCTCACATCTTCAATTGTGATCACTAGCACTGTCATTGTGATTTCCTGGAGTCATAACAGTCAACAACATCCTGATCACAAAAATCAAGTGTGCATCTCCTACAAATACTGAAACGAAGTATACAACCAGGCACACAACAATGACAACAACAAAAATAAGGAAGGGGTAAAAAGTAAAAGAAAACATCATCTCACTCTGCTCTCTTCCCATGATCAACTATAGAAGCTGCATGGCATCAAAGTACTGAATATCTAAAAACATATGTATTCTGCTTAGAGAGTTTTCTCTTCAGTCATGCAAATCCAATCCTGAGAAACTGTTCAGAAGAAAAATGAGTGAGCAATTACTCCAACATACTTTTCTTTCATATTTCTATAATTTTGTACCCGTGTAAATGATATATACATTGTACAGGTTTACAAACATTTATCTATGTACATATTATGTAAATAATTTATAGTATATTAATATATAAATGTTCATCTATATTATGCATGCATATATGTACATAAATATAAAAGTAAATTAAATAGTATTCATAAATTTTGTGCATATTGGTTTCAATAAAGTAAATTCATTATTGGGCTGGAGCAACAGCACAGCGGTATTAATGAATGTCAGTATATCACTATATCACTGTCATCCCATTGTTCATCGATTTCCTTGAGCAGGCACCAGTAACATCTCCATTCGTCCTAGCCCTGAGATTTTAGCAAATGCCACATTGGAGGCTCTTTCAGGGTCAGGGGAATGTTACTGGGTTTTGGCATATCCAATACGCCATGAGAGTTTGCCAGACTCTGGCATGCGGGCAGGATATTCTCGGTAGCCTGCCAGGTTCTCTGAGAGGGAGAACTAGAAAATAAGAGGTCATGTGGCTGCAAAAGCAGCCGTGCACTTCCAGGAGCTTGGTTTTATAGTCTCTGGGTCTTGGCTGTTGATGGGATTACACAGCGCCAAGGGCAGTTGGTGAGTGTAATGCATAGCTACTGAAAGATGGGGGATCTGGGTTGAGGAGGCCCAGTCCTGATCTGAGCAGGCTTGGAGATCTCTGCCCTGGGTCCCAGGTGGCGTTACAGCCACCAACTGTTCCAGCGCCGTGTAATCCAATCAACGGCCAAGACCCAGAGACTATAAAACCAAACTTCCAGAAGAGAACAATGCAGAGTCTCCTGCCCCCACGCCTGGCTGTCCCTATGGGGGCTCCTTGGAGGAGGGCAGGTTGAGTTTCCCTCCCTGCCCCAAGCAGAGCCTCAGCCACTGAAGACCTCTGAAACCCAGCCACAGCCATGTTTAAGACCACTCTCCACATGCTCAGAAGATCCTCATGCATGAAGAAACCGGCAGAGGAATGTCAGGATAGTTGTTATCAAATGAAATTTTTAGATGAATAACTAAATTAATAAATACGAGTACCCACTATATAAAGATATACAAATAGTCAAAGCTAACATGATAACATTTATGTGTTAATATTAATAAAGCTAAAATCATGGATCATGGTAATTAAACATAATATAACTAATATTCAAGCATTAATATAATAACATAACTAATTATAAAGTGTGACAAATCCCTAGAACATGTGGGCTTGTGGATAGAGGTTTTCTTATATTTCCCTTTTCACCTAACTAAAAGATAAACTCAATTTGAAATTGAAGTGTGATAGTACCTAGATTCTCATTACATTTAAATATTTCCTATTCCTTAGGTTCCTATCAGTTTATCATTTGTCCCTAACTTCTTGCTCTACAATGGCTAAGCATCCTATCTATTTATCTATCACACAAGACTCTGTCATAAACACACATTTTCACAGACTCACATAAATGCACATTCTATTTCCCAAACAAACATATAGTGGTAGGCTGGTCTCCTGGAACAGCCAGGCAAATGGTTTAAGTACAGGGGATAGTGTGTAGAAAGGGAAAAAACAAAAACAAATGAGTAGAAAATATTTTAAAAGTGCGGTGACAACCATAAAAATGTACTTCTGAGGCCACTATGCCCTCATGTCACTGTGATATGGATATTCAAACACATAATCTCTTTTCTGTTTCTCTCTCACTTGCTCACTCTGGCTCTGGCTCTGGCAATGGCTCTGGCTCTCTATCTATGTACCTCTTTCCTCTCTCTATCTTTCTCTCTCTCATACATACATACACACAAGTCTCTGAAACTAAGCAGTCTCGCCTTTTTTAATCTGCAGGGGCACTTGAATGAAACAATAAAACCAAAACAAAAATGCAAAAGGAAAAAATTACTATACAGACACAGATATCACAATGCTGACACAGATGCAAAAGAAGAAGAAATGAGCTTCAAATCCAACTCCAATTATAATGCATGACACATCCCTATAACATGTGGACTATAACATCTAATCGGCTCCAACTTTGATGACTTGTATATGTGCAATTCAGCAAATTATGACAAGCAGAGCAAGGGCCCTAAATAGACCCCAAAGTATAAAATCAACTGCATACGAGCAAAAGTAAGTCATTGTCAGGGCTAACAGGAAGGTGGAGGTGAAGGCAGGCATGTGGAATTTGTAAAAAATTGAGGAACACTGAGCTTGGAGCAGGTATCTGGGACCAGAGACTCAGTGTCAAGGGTATGATTAACATATTATTTGGGGCTTGGGGATTAATTTTTACTTGAGAACTTGTGGTTTTCTTTCAGGTTTGGGACATGGGGTGGCAAGGGTTGGGATATCTACCGGAGTTCTAATTATGGCTGGTGTTTGCTAGGCCTTGGACTGAGGCTAAGATAAGGGTTACTTGTGTCTGGGTTGGGTTGGTGTTGGTGCTAAAGTTAATGCAAGGGTTGGAGTTAGGATTAGATTTAAGACTAGTATTAGGGCTTCCACTAGTATTGGAATTGTGGCTAGGTTTAAGGTTAAATTCAGGACTTAGGTTAAAGTTAGGGTTAGTATCCAGATTGGGGATGGTATGATCTAAGGCCATGACTATTGAGAGAGCTAGACCTAGAGTAGGGCTATAGTAGAATTTGGTTTAAGTTTTAAGTCTAAGCATTTGATAAACAATTCTAGCATTGACAGACAAGAATTAATTTTTCTGAAATTTCCTTCTGCCCCTAAAAAGTAATACTTTTGAAGGTGCAGATTTCACATAATCCTAATAACCAAGTTCATAAACTTACACTATTTTCCACACATAATGATTGAACAGATTACAGATGAATCCTTGCATTCAGACATGAATTGAAGCATTAACTTTGAGTTCTGTGATAAATCAAAAAATTAAGATGATATCACCAAGACAGAACAAGTTATGATCACACCAGCATGTGAGCAAGGAAACTACCTTTGATTTTGTCAGATGAAAGAGAGTGTGCTATATTTTGGCCTAGAAAAATCAGTGCGTCCTGGGTATTTGAAAATTTTGATTATTATATTTAGAATAAAGATTTGTTACAAATGTGAAACAGGTTAAACGAATAAAATTAGAGAGTCAAATTCATATGTATCTTTTTAACAGGTTAAAAATATATGAAGTTTATGTCTATACTTCTTTGATAAAGGTTTAGGTGAAAAAATATGGAAAAATTACCTTTCCAAAAGATCCCTGTCCCAGAACCTTGAGCAACTCAAACTGTGCAGGATCTGCTTTCTCATATCCTTCCTTAACATGATTTGTGATAGGAATTTCTTTAACAACTGTTTCATCCTGTAAGAAAACCCAGACAATACTCAAATTTATAGTGAGAAGTTATACCAGGAGCTTTATGATACCCACTGTAATCTAATAGTTTTAAAAGCATCCAACATTTCCATTTCCCTGTTTCCTAAAACAGAATCAGAGCACTACCACCATAATTTTTAATAAATATATATACACCTGTGTGCAAAATCTATACTTAACTCTCATTTCTATCTAAAAATAAATGTAAAACCTAACAGTATTAAGACTCACTGGAATATACTCTTAGGTGAATGCAGAGGAAGTTAAAGAGATAAATACTGCATATTGTAAGGTATGGCAAAAAATTACCTCAGTGATATCCTGCCACTGATCTTTCAGATGAAAATTAATAATAAATGTGAATTTTCTAGAGGAGAAATCCTTATGGAACTTGATGGTGCTTTGAATTTAAGTTCCACTTCCCAGAACTTGAAGGATGCTAAATATGTTTGTAAAAGAACTGGTGGCTTCTTTATCTACTGACATAGCTATTAACATACAGATTGCACCTGTGTGTCTCATATTATGGTGGTGTTTACTTATAGGACTTGTTAATTTAAATGTCTACTGAAGTTGATTTATTGGGGTAAGGGATTCAAAATAATATTGAACTATCTGTTCAAATAATCCATAGGGACCACAGTGCAGGAATTACAACCCACGCAACACATAGACCTGACCAGTGTTCTATCCTCAGCTGAGCAGCATTGCAAACACAGGCCCTAGCAATACAGTGCTGGCGCCAGGTGGCAGAGTATTACAAGGACTAGCCCCTGAGCTGAACACTGCTTTGGAGACACATCCAGACAAATAAAATATAGAACTGGTTTACCTATACTCCTTTTAAGTAGTCAATGATACATAGTTATTTCAATATCTTAGAAGACATATCACTAAAAACAATTGTTTTTAATAAACATATGCAAAGCCTAAACAAATGTTCCCAGGCTATAATCAACTTTGTATATAAATTATTTGCTGCATTTCTTACTTCCTTGGTCAGGCAAAAACAAAGTCACACACAGAGTATCTATACCCCTTAACATGTGACTCTTTTCAATTGTGAAGACTATGTTGAAATGGACTACAATTCTAGCCCATGAAATGCTCAACTGCCAGGATTAAAAAACAACTTTAGAAATATCAAAAAATAACAAGAACCTCTGGGGTAGGAAGATAGTACAGGTTTTAGGCCATGAGCTGTGCCACAGTACAATCCTCATGCCATATTACCCCCACTCCTCTCAGCATACACTGGAGGCCCTGGAGCAATGAATCTGTTCCTAGTGGCCCCTAGGCACTGTAATGGTGAGTGGTGATTCCCAGAAATACAGGACCTAAGCAGCAGCACACCCTCTGTCTCCTAGCATTGAACCACCACCCCAGTTGGTTAAGGATCAGTAGGAATGGCTTTTGTGTTTCCTAAAAATGGCTTGGATGCAACATTCCCCTGCCCTCCACCCCCAAATAGTCAGGGTATGTTAACCAACTCAGTATAAAGGGAAAAAGAGACCAACAAAGTTTCGGCTGTCACAACTGGTTAAGCATAATATCTTGAGTTATTGGAAGCTTTTCCTTACAAAATATTGTAGGATGACATTGCTTTGTCCTTCCTCCACAAGGAGCTTACGTTTATCTGGTTACACCCATCACAGTGCTCCTGAGGAATTTCCATTCCAATGTGTTTATCTGTAAACATTCTTCCCTATGCTCTCCTCCCCAACCAGTTAATCAGCTTTTCCCCTAATCAGACTCTGTTAATTTGTAAGGTTAGATTCCTCATAAATCTATGATTTTATATGTATGAGTGAAATATTGCCTTTCTCCTTTCCTTATGCCTTATGAACAGTTTACTTTAAAGCAATGCCCTTTTTGTATAGATATAGGAAGACCGTTAACATTATGCTTTGTAACTTAGGATTTGATTGGCTTTGCATATTATTCACTCCCAGGCATCTGCTTTCTCAACTTAAGCCTCAGTTGCCCTTAGTTCCTAACACACCAAAAGCAGGGTCCCAATGAGGGACTGAATGGGCCCAGGGCAAGCAGTGAGCTACCCTGGCATCGAAATGGGCCAGACCAAAGTGCCACGATTCTTAACTATAAGTTAAGAGTTTGATCATAGACAAATGCTATCATTATCCAAAAGTAACGACGAGACTAGGATCCTGCTAGGGGTGGGAAAGACTATCTGGCCTGAGCACCATAGTCTGAGATCGAGATAGCCCTGGGAGGGCAATTCTATAAGTCTAAGATATTTCTTACTGTATCCATACAAAATGATTCATATTATATTCTTATATGCTTGTCTGACAAGGAGAGGAGAGACACACCCATGGGATTCCACTCTAGGGTGGGTGGTCCTGCTGAGAGAGAATCTGTCCTAGGAGCTGCTTTCCCTGAGGGGAAAGAGTTCTACCCCTATTGATTGTGACCACACCTATGTGTAACTATTACCCCAACCCCTCATGCTTTGGGATTTAACTTGACTGTAAGAGTGGGCTGGGGGATCAGAAGGAAGAGAAAGATGGATCAGAATCCAGACTCCAGAGAAGGAGGATGAAGGGGGATGGAGAAGGAGAATGAAGTAGCATGGGGGAGGAAGAAGCAGAGGCAGAGGCAGAGAAGAGAGACTGATGTGGATGAAGAGAGGATTGGAATAAACTGCGACTAAGACCAACCAGTCTGGCCCTCGTTCCTTCCTTTACCTGCCCATCGCCATCGACCTCCCGGGGTGGGGAAAGAAGGGTGAGACTACCGAACGTGGGTGGCAGGAGAGATAGAGCCACTGCCACTGTTTGCAGTGCCCCCTTTCTTGAGTTTACACACAATATGAATTCTAGTCTGTATGGCCAGAATAATTTCAATTAATTCACACTTTTATTAACTGCTTAATCTGTGATATTGCAGGCTAAAGAACAACAAACTCGCAAGGGAACTAGTCTTCAAGACTGCTAATTTAACTTTCAAATAACACAGCACTTAGATATTCATTTGCTCAAAAGATGTATTTCAGCAGAACACTGTTAGCTTTAATTATTAATAGCCACAAACCAGTTATAAAAGGAAAATAATGTATATATACTGTATATCATAATAGTATTTCACCTGACACTTTTTGGAGTTTTTTTTTCTTTTTTTAAATTTATTTAGTTACTATGAGATTATAAAATTATTTATAATTAGGTTTAAAGTGTATAATGTTTTGAGACTCAGCAGTGAATACTGGAATACAGCAGCTTGCAGGAGATTTGTCTAGACCCCATGCCAAGCCAATTTCACTGGGGCACCTCAGATGGGGCAGGTAACCTCTCTGCCCACTCAAGATGAACCCCCAATGGCCACAAAATTCCAGAAGAAAAACTCAGGTGTGCGGGACCAGACTGAAGACTCCAGGTCACATGAGGGTGGTGGGGACCAGCCATCCCATCCCATCTTCCTGCCCGTTCAGGGTCCTGACTGTCATGCCCACGAACTGCCTCTGGGCACCATTTAAGCAAGTCAACAACCTTGATGCAGAGACTCACAAATGAAACTCAAAATGAATTAGGTCCCCACAGAGATGTCTCTGGACCCCAATCATTGACAATTTTACAATTCCAGGAGCATCCACGTGACCTCTCATGATATTCATAATAAGCAATAGAAAATAAATTATCTAGCATCTGCCTGTGGCAGGCAGGCTTGAATGGTGATGGGAAAGTTCGAAAAAATGGTGGTGGAAAGGTGTAATGGTGGCAGGACTGGTACTGAAATACTGAATGTAATCAATTAATGTAATGTAAACCTTTATGAAAATAAAATTTAAAAAGTAAAAAAGTAAATATAGCATACAATGTTTCAACACCCATCCCTTTACCAGTGTCAACTTCGCTCCAAACAATGCCCCCACCGCTATTTGCCTCACACACTCCAATCTACTTCTACAAGACACGATTATACATATATATCTATGTATATATATATGCATACACATACATACTGTAATATGGTTTACAGTACCACTGCTGATAGGATTTCATATATAACATTTTACCACCTTTTAGCACCATATCCTCCTCATGGGCAAATGCTTCCCTATACTATAGGTGTTGCCCCCACAAAGTTGCCCCACCATCCCACTGCCCCCTTTAGTGGCATGGTTCCTTCTGAATACCAGTTGTCATTTTTTTCCATTGTCCTTTGGTAGTCATCCCACTATTATGTTTATTTATATCCCATATATGAGAGAGATCATTCTGTGTCAGTTTCTCTCCCCTGTCTAACTTGACTCAGTATGATACCTGCAAGGTCCCTCCATGTATCAGTAAATTGACTTTTATCTTTTTTATGGCCACTGTAGAAATGTATCATAGTTTCTTTACCTATGCATCTATAATTGGACACTTGGATTGTCTCTAGATTTTGGCTACTGTGGATAATGTTGCAAGGAAGATAAAGGTGTACTTGTCTTTTTATTCCATTTTTTCGTCCTTTGTAATATATTCCAAGAAGTAGAGATGTTGGGCTAAATGGAAGCTCAAATAATAGTATATTTTTAGAAGTGTTCATATTGTTTTCCATAAAGAATGGACCAGTTACCAACAAAGTGCATTAGAATCCCTTTTGCCAACATCCACAACAGCTCTGGTTGTTCTTGTTCTTTTAAATGTGTCCCAGTCTCTGTGGTGTGAAATGGTATCTCCTTGTTGTTCTGATTTGCATGTGCCTGATGATTAAGTGATGCAACGCATTTTTTCATATATATATACATATATATAATATATATACATATATATTATATATATTAACTGAAGACAGCCAGTCATGGGGGCAGGAGATTCTGCACTGTTCTCTTCCGGGACTGGGTTTTAAGACTCTGGGTCTTGGCCGTTGATGGGATTACCTGGCACCAGGGCCCCTTGGAGGGGGGTGGGTTGAATTTTCCTCACCACCCCAAGCAGAGCCCCAGCAGCCAAAGACCTCCAGAACCAGCCACAGACATG